ATATATACTTATTTTTATAATTAACAATCTACTTATTTCTATTTAAAATTAATATTATGATACAATTTAAATTATTTATTATAAATTTAAAAGTTTAAATAATAATTTTTATATTTTAAAATGAGAAGGATTATAATAACACTGGTATAACCTTTACTAAGTATTACACTGTGTAACACCCCAAATTTTATACAATAGTTAATTATTATTTTTATATTTATAAAAATTATTTTCTTATAGTTATTAATTAATAAAAAGGGTTTTTATAGAACATTTTAGAGATTTTTTTTAAATATTTATAAAAAAAATAATCTTTATATGAAATTCTGTTTTTTTTAGGCCTAGAGCGGGTTGTTCCAAAAACTGGAACGGACCGTTCTAAACGATGAAAGTAAACTATTTTTAAAGGACCAGAACGGGCCGTTGCAAATGGTGGAACGGGCCGTTCCAAATTAGTAAAGAGGCCAAATTTGGTTATTCCAAAACGGGTTGTTTCCAAAGTGAAATGGGTCGTTCCAAGATTCTAAAAATGCCTAAAATCCTTAGTTGGAAACGACTTATCACGGAATTTCATTTATTGTCTCACATCATTATTTTTCATATTCTCATAGTCGTAGCTTATCTCAATAGTCCATTTTCATGTCTCATGTCATTTGTTCATATTTCACATAGTAATGTCATGATTATTCCTAATAAGGTCCGAACAGAAAATTCATAGAGCATTTTAGTTCATTCGCAGGAAAAGTCGCATGTAATAAGAAAAATTCTAGTAATGGGGTAAGTAGTTGTGATTATCGTAGAAAGTTTTGTAAATTAATAAACGTGAGTAATTTAATCCAAATAAATATTTTTTAATCTGGATATAAATATTAGAAGAACCAAAGTTTTGGAGTAGTGGAAGTAACATTTTCATCCTTATGTGTGAACAATAATTAGCTCTTTCAATCATTTTAGTTAGGATATAGTTCTCAATGGCATGCTTGAATATATACATTTTCAATTTATATATCATCTTAATATATGTAAATGTCTTAATTGATTGGATAAAATAACTAAGCACTAATTAACTCATTAATTGAACGAAGAGTGTTGTAGCACATTCTCTAATAAATTATTTCTAATACATTGTTTTTATTGGTTAAAATTTATTAAAATTATAAAATCATGAAAGATTTATTAAATAGAATGAACTAATTTATTTTTGTGATTTTCAATAATTTTTTACCAATAAAATAGATTGTGTTAGAAAATATGTTACTAATATTTTTCTAATTGAATATATATATACATG